TTATAAGGACTCTGAGTAGTTATTATAAGGACTCTGAGATTAAGAGCAGAGTAGGATAAATTTTTCCTTTTCCTGTTATGAAAGTGGTCACATGAATACTGTGAGCTGGTGGCAGGGGTTGGAGGGAAGGTGGGCCCAATATCCACAAGTTTTAGTAAACACGAAAAAGATTCAAGCCACTATCATTCCTCTAACTCCACAGTTTATGGGAGTTCAAAGACACCCTTAACTCCAACAATACTTTCTGTAACTTTATGTGTCCACCTCAGTCTTCAGCCTCTTGCTTTTGAAGTGCATCAAGTGATATTGACCTGGGTGAGAAATACAGCCCTTTTTTCAATTTACACTCGCTCCTACAGAGCATTCAAGAAATTAATAGTCTTTGCAAGCAATTTAGGGGAAAGATGAAAAAGTTGCTTGCCTTACATCAGTGAAAACCACCTCCTGTGGTCACACAGATATAGACATCCTGTGACTTGGTGCTGTCCAATAGAACTTTCTAAGATGATGAAAATATTTCACTACTACACTGTCTGATTCAGTCACCACTAGCCACAAGTGGCTTCTGAACACTTAAAATGTGGCCAGTGTAACTGAGAAATTGGATTTTAACTTTAACATACTTAATTTTAAATAGCTACATGTGGCTCTCGTGAGGATCTTATTTATAGCACAGCTCTAGTTACTTTCCTGTAGCCTCATTGACTCTTAACCTCATAGTCCTGCAACCTCTCCATCTTTCCTACTTTTCTCTTCATTTTTTCCACACCTTCCCTTAATTTATGCCAAGCACTTTATCCTTTCACAGTGGTGCCTGCACATAGCCACAGAATCTCATCCAAAGGACCTCTATTTACTGTGTGATTCTTAGCAAGTTACTTTGAGCCCCAGTTTCAATGCCTCTAAAATGGGTGTAACAGAAGGGTGGGTTTGGTGGCGCATGCCTGTAATCCTAGCAGCTTGGGAGGCTGAGGCAGGAGGATTGGAAATTTTAGGCTAGCCTCAGCAACTTGGTGAGAACTTGTCTTGAAATAAAAAGTAAAAAGACCTGAAGATGTAGATCAGAGGTAGAGCACCCGTGGATTCAATTGCCAGTAACTCAAAAAATAAAACTTTCTTTTTGAGTTCATTTAAAATTAAATAAATTTCTACATATAAAGTGGAATATATATCAAAAATGGGCTTAACAGGACATCCCAAAGAAAGACATTTTCATATCTAAAAGAAATTCCTGTTCCTTCTATTTTTTTTTTTTTTTTGGTGGTGGTGGGGGGTGCTGTGTACTGGGGATTGAATCCAGAGATGTTTTATCACTGAGCCATATCCTAGCCCTTTTTAAATTTTTTAAATTTTGAGACAGAGTCTCACTACACTAAGTTGCTGAGGCTGGCCTCAAATGTGCAATATTCTCTTGCCTCAGCCTTCCAAGTTGCTGGGATTATAGGCATGCACCACCATGCCTGACACTGAAAGAAACTCTGATAACAAGTGTTAAGAAATAAAATTTTGACCTTGTTACATAATTTTAGGCTACACTATGAAAGTAGTTGTGACTGACTACAAGTGGGCATTTAAATTTAAATCTTAATTCTTAAATTTGAAGTTCAGTTTCTCACATTTCAAGACCTCAATAGACACACACATGGCTAATGAACATATAAGACATAGCAAAGATCTACTGGACATATAAGACATAGCAAAGATCTATTGGAGAGTGGCAGAACGTTATTTTCTTCTTGAACTCAAACAAGAAGAATCGATAGAGTAAGTCAGAAAAACATTTAAATTGGGGAAGCCAATCAACAGATTTGGCCACTTTATCAATCTTACCCTCTCATTCTTCCCATCTGTATTTTCGCCTTTCATTTTTCCCTTTTTACTACTTCCTCTTCCATCTTGACAGTACAAATGAAAAGCATTCAATAAATATCAATAAAATATTGTAGATCTGATTTTAAATGTTGTCAAGCATACTTTCTTCGGAATTTATTTTCTTTGAAGTCATCACAGTGGAAGAGATTATGTCTTCCTTTTTATTAATACTATGTCATATCTGGCAAAACAGGCATAATCCTGTCCTTTTTTTTTTGTTTTTGCAAATACAGCACAGCACAATAAATACATAACTTAATGAACATTTTTATATAGCCCTGATTGTTTATAGATTGACAGAGCCTGACATGAGATGATAAAGTAGAGAAAGTTTAGATCCACTATGTGTCTGTGTGTTCACATCCACATATGACTTTTGTCATTAATTGTAGTTAGCAGAAATTTGTCTGAGCATTTAATGAAATTTCTCCCATTAAGCGGCTATTCTCTTGGGCATCTGCTCCAAAGGGAAATGTTATCATTAATACATGATGGAAACTTCCTAACTTACAGAAGCTTATCCTGAGAGTGTGCAGTATTGCTGCGAATATTGTTCTGAGTATTGGCTGCCAGAATATTTGTGTTTTAATCTTGGTGAAGGCACAAACAGCTAAGTGTGGTGGCACAGCTATGGGAATGAGCACCTAGGTCCTGAATGAGCAATCTGAGCAGCATTCATTACAAAGAAGTAAATCCATCTCATTTCCTGTCCCAGGGGTAATATCTATTTCATTCAGGTGTGAGGTCTGGCTTCCATGAACCCACTCCAGGCAAGGTAATTGCAAGGGTCCACGGTGCACCACCTGTCTTAGGAGATAGTCTTAAAACGTACCCTGAGGATTTGTGTGAAAGTGATTTATTAGGAAATAATCCCAAAACAAACCAGCAGGAAGTGAGGGAGTCTAGAAAAGAAAGGAGCCCAACCAAAGGTCTTTATGCAAAGTTCTATAGATAGAAGCTTTGGCTCAATTCTATAGGAGGGCCCTGAGGACAGAGTTGGGGGGGGGGCTTTATATATGAACACCCCCATCAGACTTTGGTTAGAGACTGCCTCCAGACAACTGAAACTTCCAGGCACTTCCAAGGCCCCAAATGTAGGCAAATTTGATTCCAGCTTGGGGAACACCACTTCCACAATGACCACAGGTGCTGCCTCTACTGAGCATGACAGCACACAGGAACCCAAGTGCATTACAATGATAAAGAGAGGCTGTAGATGGTGAACTTCCAACCAAGGGCTGAGTTCATCAGTCTCCAATAAACCCTCATGAGGCATCTTTTAGGCAGGAGCTGAGTCCAATTATTCTACTTCCTTGTCACATCTATGTGCCAGCATGAAGGGATAATCAGATTTATACCTCACTCCTTTTTTTTTCATATAAGAACACATTCTCTAATAAGAACATGCTGACGAAAACATGCACCCACATTTACACTTCTCCCAAGGACAAGAAATAATCTCTAGGTCAGGGCAGTCCTAACCCCGATTAATGAAATACAATATCATTGTCATGACTAGAACTAATCGTGGATTCTCCTAGGAATTCATCATCATCATCACTTCAACTAGATTTTAAAATAACAGCCCTTCTAAAATCCATCTATGAGGTTGTAATTAGACAATTTATCCTTAATCACAAGTAATTATTTGCATCATATTAGGAAAGTTTCCTCTCAGTTTATCCTGTTAGTGTGTATTAAGGATGTCCTCAATGCAATAACTTTCCCAACTGCTTTCTAAAGTGATTAAAAAGAGCTTTTTACAATGATATTCAAGTATTTGTGAGGCCATAGCCCTGGTAAATTACCATAGATCATTCTAAATTTCTTTGCCTCTTTTTAAATGTAAGCCATTTCACCAGATGACTCCTACCAGCTTATAAGACTTATATTATAAGGAAGGTCATTTCAAGCTAATATTTCATTCTCAAATACTACTTTACTGTTTAAAAATCCAGAGAGATGACACCATAATAGGAGACAGATTGTAAGGACATGGATATCTGGTAACTCTTTCTTATGGAGGACAGTTTGAGGGCACAGCCCTTGCTTTATTTTTTTAAATTTTATTTTATTTATTTATTTATCGGACTAGGGATTTAACCCAGGAATGCTTGACCACTGAGCTACATTGTCTGGAATCTTTTTATTTTTTTATTTTGAGTTAGAGTCTCGCAAAGTTGGTGAGATTGACCTCCAACATGTGATCCTCCTGCTCCAACCTACCAAGTAGCTGGGAAAGGCATGTGCCACCACATCGTGCGCAGCCCTCACTTTATAATGATAAATAAAATAAAAGGAAGCCAGCATTAACCACACTTGAGGATTGGTGCCCTTATAGATGAGAAAGGGGAACTTCAGGGCAGGCACATAGCTTTATTACACCTGCTATAAATAGCCTTTCTTCTACCTGAGGGTCTCCTGTGACTTTACTGATCCTGTCTGCAAGGATAATACCAACTGCATTTCTACTAGGCTAAGGAGAGCAATTTATCCTCTTTCACTAGATAACCATTTTGAAGTGATAACTTAGGTGTATGATATCAAGAAGCAACTTTGATGTCATACCAAAACTGAAGTGTTCTATTCATTATTCTACTAATCCTTATTATAATTTAATTGACAGTGTATTATCCACATCATAAGCATGCAATTTTGTGTCTAGATGAAAGATCTACATGTTCTTTTTTAAAAAAAATTATTGTAAAGAATCACAGATCATTAAATTAAAGGCACTTCATAAAATATTTTTTGAAGACCATATTATGAGACCTGCAGTTTAGAAACTCTTATCAAAGTAGTTCTTTTTGTTGTCCAGTAGGTAAAGTTTGAAAGTAAAAATATATTTAGGTCTGATCAAGTATACACAGCTTAATGATATGCAGGGATTTACAAAGAAAGATTTCAATCTAAATTGGAAGTGTATAGAATTACCTGTAATTTGGGGAGAATTATATTTTTGGTCAATTTCCTTAACTTTCTATCTTAGGAAGATTGGCTTTGTTTCTAAATTTCTTATGATTAAGTTTATAAATTACTATAAAACACACTGAACACCTTAATAATTGGAAAAACTGAGTAGGCTCAGACAGTTTAGCACTGTTGTAATTCAAATTTCTTATCTGCAGAGAGGAAAGACACAACGTCTTATCGCCTGTGTTTTATCTGATTTTGATTGGGAATTCAAGCTATGTTTCTTATTCTGTTGAAGACATACTGAAACCAGACAAAGGATCTTAAGGTAAAGAACAGGAAACGGGTATCGATTTCCTTTATCCACCCTAGTCTCTTCGAATCTTTTTATATTGTACTATGATGGATTAGGTGGACAGGCTAGCAAATGTGAAACATTTGCTAGCAATTTGATGGGCTTTGGGGAACCAAAAGAATTTGAGACATCTGGTCTTAAAGAGAAGAATCCTTAAAACCAAGTCTGGGTCAGTGTGATAAGTAGCAATATGTCTCCCTATATCTGAAAGCCCCAAACCTCCTACTTAGTACCTTAAATATCATTCTCTTCAATCCTCTTACTACACACACACACACACACACACACACACACACACACACACACACAGCCCTCACTAAAATAAATGCTAATGCATTTGTTGTCTTTTGAGATGGGGTTTCTTTATGTTGCTTAGGCTGGCCTAGAACTCCTGGACTCACCATCTTCTACTTCTGTTTCCCATCTTTAATATTTCTTTTGGTTACTTTTGTCTTTCTTTTTCTTTTTAGTAATTGGGATAGAACCCAGGGCTACTAAAGACCACTCCCTAGCCCTTTTTTAAATCCTTGATTTAGAGACAGGGTCTCTCTAAATTGCTTAGGACCTCTCCAGATTGCAGAGGCTGGCCCCAAACTTGGCAATCCTCCTACCTCAGCCTTCCGAGCTGCTAGGATTGTAGGCATACACTACTGTGCCCAGCTACTTCTTTCTTTTGTCATGAGTGAATACAGTCATCAAAAAATATGCTTCCTTAACCGGGAGAGGTGGCCCAACGCCTGTAATCCCAAGGGCTCATGAGGCTGAGGCAGGAGGATCACGAGTTCAAAGCCAGCCTTAGCAATTTAGCAAGCTGCTAAGCAACTCAGTGAGACCCTGTCTCTAAATAACATACAAGAGGCCCTGTCTCTAAATAAAATATAAATTAAGGCTGGGGATGTGAATCAGTGGCTGAGTGCCCCTGCGTTCAATCTCTGGTACAAAAAAAAAAAAAGGAAAACAAATTGCTTCCTTCCATATCTGTGGAGAGTGTATCCAAGCCATCTAAAATGAAGATTCTAAACCAAGTGAATCAGAGTTTCAGGAGGGGACCCAGAAATCTCCACTTTTCAATATAATAGTCTTTGGCACATTTAAGTTTGAAAGTCATTGCTGTAGGTTAACATGTAAGATTTACAGACTAAATTAAAGAAACGAAGGAGCTATTTGGCTACAGGATTCAAGAGTGTTAGCATACCAGCTTCCCTAGCCCCAGGAACATCCCAGTCCCTCCTCCCTCCTCTTTTGTGAGCTTTCACATTCTTCTCTTTCTCAGCAGTAAATTATTTACAACATAATTAAGTAATCTCCCTCGGAATGTTTCCTGCCCCTGTTCTTATCCCACCTCACCTTTCTATTTTTCTCCCGACTTCTCTTTCTTATTCCCTTTAGGAGGGAGAGTGAAGTTCAATGAATTGAAAAACTAAAAACAGAATAATTATAGTAGAAATGTAATGAGAATAAATAGCTCTCTGCCAGACACCGTGGGGCAATGTGCCGCAGCCAATCTGTTTTAGTCTTCCTCCCTTCCCACTCCCCTGCATCTCCCCTCCTCTTCATCACTTGCTCCTTTCCTCCAACATCATCCATGTCACCCAAACAGCAGGTCACCTAAAGTAACTTCTGGAAAAATGCTTCTCAGGAGGCACATCCTTTGTCTTCCCTGCTTTACATAAAAACTTTTCATTTCTGCCTTACAGGTAAACAAAACAAATAACAACGGACAGAACAAACCACAAATCACAGAGAAAATTACCTCTTGGTATTTCTCCTTGTGTGCATCCATTTTTAAGTTAAACTTTTTCTGGTATTGGGAATTGAACCTAGGGCCTTTAACCACTCCCCAGCCTTTTAAAAAAATCTTTTAGTTTGAGACAGGGTCTCTCGCTAAATTACCTAGGGCCTTGCTAAATTGCTGAGGCTGGCCTTGAACTTTTGATCTTCCTGCCTCAGCCTCTTGAGTCCCTGGGATCACAGGCACATGCAACTGCACTTAGCTAAGTTAACCTTTGAAAGTATATTTTACATACAATAAAATCCACCCATTTTAGATGTACAGTGCAAAGGCTTTTTGACAATGTGCACCTGTGCAAATATCTCTGTAGCAAGATACGTAACATGCCTCATCACCCTCAGGAAGTTTCCTCCTGTTTCTTTGCAGTTAAATGTACCCCACACCTGATCTCCAATGCCTCCCCAGTCAACCACTCCCCTCCCATATCCCCTGATCTGCTCTTGGTTTCTAGGTGTGAACTTGGCCTGCTCTGAAGTTCCATTTAAATGAAATCATGCCATAGATACTTATCTGTCTAGCTTTTCCCCCCTCAACACATTATCCTTGAGGTTCATTCACAGTTGTTGCTTGTATGAATATGTACCACTGTTTATCCATTCTCTTTTTGATACACATGTGGGTTATTTCTAGTTTAGAACTATTATGAACATAGCTGTTATCATCATTGTGCACAATTTTTCTTGGGCATATTTATCCATTTGGAAAGCAATAACTGGATCATATGATAAGTTTATGTTTGACTTTATAAGAAACTTACCAAGCAGTTCTCTAAAGTGGTTGGATCATTTTACATACCCATCAGAAATGATAAAGTTCCCATTGATCAACATTCTCACAGGATTGTCAATTTTTTCAATTTTAGCCATTTGAAGAAGTGTGTAGGTATCTCCTTATGATTTTAGTTTGTATTTCTCTGATGACTAATGATGATGGGTATCTTTTCACATGCTTTTTATTGACATTTGTATAGCTTATTTTCAGAAGTACCTACTCAAATATTTTGCTTATATTATGTGCGTTGTTTTATCTCTCTCTCAACATACACACATTCACACATACATTCCTGCGTACACTCTATACTTTTCATATTGAATTCAATTGGTTCTAATAATAGGCATTAGACACAGTAACCAAGTGTAATCTAATTTTTAAAAATATGTAGACTTTTATTTATTTATTTATCTGGTCCCAGGAATTGAACCCAGGGACACTTAACTACTGAGCTACGTACCCAGCCCTTTTATTAAATATTTTATTTTGAGACAGAGTCTCACTAAATTGCTTAGGGCTTCAATCAGTTGTTGAGGCTGGCTATGAGCTCGAAATCCTCGTGCCTCAGCCTCCTGGGCCTCTGGGATTACAGATGTGTGCCACTGTATCTGGCAAATGTAATCTAATTTTGTGCGTAAGAGTAGAAATTTTACCTCCATACAAGCTGCAAAATACTGGAAGCCAGTGTCAGTATTTTCCCTGCTTTATTTTGATAGAACAAAGTGATTAGGCACACAGATTCTTGAGTCACTCAGCCTGGGTTCACATACATACTAGCTCCACCACTTACTAAATGCATTTCTCTGGGCAAAATGCCCAGTCTGTGCCACAATTTCCTCTACTGTAAGATGGAGCCATGATAATACAGATGTTCCTCAACTTACAGTGCAGTTCTGTCCTGATAAACCCTTCATAAATTGAAAATATTGTAAGTCAAAACACCCTTAATACACTTAAACTACTGAATGCCCTAGCGTTGGAACTCAGTACACTATAGAGTATCAATAGTTTACTTTGATGATTCTGTGACTGATTGGGAGCTGTAGCTATGAAATTTAAAGGAGGACAATTAAAGTACTTTGAATAGTCCAAATACAAGTGAGCATTCAATAAATGTTCCTTGTTATCAGGATAAAGAATCTGAGTTTGATACAACCAGAGATATGAAAAATTGTGCTCTTTATGTGTAATAAGAATTGTAATGCATTCCACTACCATATATAAATTAAAAAAATTAATTAAAAAAAAAGAATCTGAGTTTGTTCATTAAAATGCCTACCTAACTACACTCTTTACAGAATCCTTATTAATACAGCATCATCTCTCTCCTTCAGTTCTCAGTTCTATTTCTACAACTATCTTCCAGATCAGCAATATCTGGAAATTTATTTTTGTCTCCCTTCCAGGTGATTTGCAAAAGCAATGATAGAGAAGGAAATGGGATCAAGGTAGGTTTTACCTGATTGTGTTTAAATTTTATATCAATTTATACCAATTTGTTCCTGGGGATTCTAATTCCTTTTGGAATATTTCAACAAAGTCCTGATATAATTTAAAGCTCGTGAGAGGGAGAGAAACTAGACTCATTCCAGCAGGAGGCTGGGAATAACATTTGACAATCAGATTATTTTATTTTAGGGCAAGAAATTAGTTTCCTTCTGGATAAAGAGAGGAAGTAAAACTTTTTAACAACTTTTGGCTCTGAATGTCAGGAAGCCTTAAAAATTCCTGAAAGCACATATTTTTAAAAGAGAAGAAAGAATTAAGACGTAGGTTAACATAATAAGAGACAAAAACCACATGGTTATTTCAGTAGATGCATAAAAAACATTTGAAAAAAATCCAGCATTCATTCATAATAAAAACTCTCAAACTAAGAATAGAATTCTGCAACCTGACAAAGAGCATATATAACAAATTGGGATGTAGCTCAGTGGTAGATACTTGTTCAAGACCCTGGATTCCCCATATTGCAAAGGAAAAAAAAAAGTAAATAAAAAGAAGAGTAAACATGGCAAGGATTCTCTGTTTTCTTCATTTGTATTCAACCTTGTACTGTAGTTTCAATAGCTTGTGCAATAAAAAGAATTTTTTTTTAAATTAAGGGCATCTGATTGGAAAGAAAGAAGTAAAACTGTATTTTCAGATAACATAGTTCTCCATGAATATCTAAAGGAATTTTACTAGAACTAATAACAGACTTTAGCAAGGATACAAGATCAATACAAATTTAATAATATTTTTATATACTAACAATGAACAAGGAGAAATTTAAATTATGGAAATGATTCCCTCACAATAACAGTAAGGAGAATAAAATACTTTGGATAAATTTAAGAGAAGAAAAGCCAGACTTACATGCTAACATGTATAAAACATCATTGAAAGAAATTAAGGAATACCTAAATAAATGAAAAAAACATTTAATATTTATTACTTGAAAGACTCAATATTATCAAGATGGCTGTTCTCCTTATATGGATCTATAAATTCAATGCCATTTTTATCAAAATCCCATTAGAGACTGGGTGGGTAACTATCATTGGCTCTGTTTTGGAGCCTAGGGCAAAAGTAAAAAAAAATCAAAGTGCCAGCTCTATCCTGTTCTCTTCTTTTCCCATCGACTGGTTCTGTCCGACACCAGAAGGACATCTCATGTCGTGTTAAGTGTACATCCCTGCCCATAAATACAAGTCCCAACACTTTCTTTCCTAGTGCCCTCACAAACAGGTTCCCCTGGGACACCCTTCAACCTAGGGCTATGCATACCAGTGTCAAAAGACAGACCCAGAAGTGTCAGAAGAATGCCAAGCAGTTGCTGGGAAAAGGCTGTCTTGGAGCCATCTGGGCCAGGCGATACCAGGGTCCTGTTTACCTAAGGTGTGGTCAAGAAGCAGAGGCGTGGGCACATCCATTCCACACCAAGGATTCCTCACAAAAGGGCTAAAGAGATGTCCTCTAAAGCAATGCTTCTCAAAATTTAATATGCAAACTGATCACTGGGGAGCTTATTAAAATAGGTTTAGTTCCAAGGTAAGGCCTGGTCGTCTGCATTTCTAATGGGCTACTGGTTTGTGAAGAATGCCCTTTGAATAGTAAAACTGTAGAAGCACAGAGCCCAGATCAGGGACACTACAAAGAAGGCTCTGAGGAAAGAACTCAGCTGTGGAATGGAAGTGAAAAACTGCACTTCAGCACAGGAGACTGAGCACATTGGTGACGTCTGATGGAGATTGAATGAACAGTGTTTGCAGTGCTGGCTCTTCAAGAACTTAACGGTCTTTATTTAGACATAAATAATTACAAGACATTGTATAATGCAGAACAATAGCAGTAAGTGTAAGACACATAGGTGACACAGCAGAGGTGAGATTAACTAACTCTTTGTTGGAAAAATGTTTCAGAAAGAAAGAAAGAAATGTCTGAGTAGAATATTGAGGGATGAATTGGGTTTCACAGAGAACAAAGAGGAAAGGGATTCAAAGCAAAGGGAATTACATCTCTGTGACAGATAACATTTCCCAAAGAGGGTTGCAGCAGTATCTCCAGTCTCATAAAACCTTCTAGGAAACTTTCCATTTCTTTTTTTTTTTTTTTTTTTGGTACTGGGGATTGAACTCAGGGGCATTTAAGCACTGAGCCACATCCCCAGCCCTTTTTTTGTATTTTATTTAGAGTCAGGGTCTCATTAAATTGCTTAGGGCCTTGCTAAATCGCTGTGGCTGGCTTTGAACTCATGATCTTCCTGCCTCAGTCTCCCGAGCTGCTGGGATTACAGGTGTGCACCACCTTTCCCTCTTAAGAGGTAAAGTCTTATTCCCTTTTCCTTGAATCTGTGTGGATTTGTAGACTTGCTTCCATGAAAACAAAGCGGAGAAATTACACAATGTGACTTGTGAAGCTAGATTAGAAAATGCTATTTATCTTTTGTCTGGGTTTCTTGGGATGCATACTTTTGGAACCCAAATCACCATTCTGTGAGGAAGTCAGGCAGCCATAGAAAGTTCTGGTGGGGAGGAACCAAAGTCCCCACCCAGAGCCCCCATGGAGATCTTAACTGACTGCCAGTACCTACTTGTCAGCAGGCCATGCGAATGAGCCATCCTGAGAGCAGGTTCTTCTGTCCTTCAGTCATACTGTCCAGGTGACACTGTGTAGAGCAGAGATAAGCCATTTCCATCAAGCCCTGACCAGATTTCAAATTCATGAGAAAAATAAATGATTGTTGTTGTTTCAAGGTCCAGCATTTGGAGAGGTTTGTTGTGTAGCAATAGATTCCCTGAACAACATCTAAAGGTAAAGAGGTGTGAAAGAGCCTGATGTTTTACGATATGACACAAATAGGGCATGTTTATGTATAACTCAGCTATTAGAAATACAAACAGAAAAATATGGGACATGTTGGGAATGTTGAATTTGTGATGTGGAGGGGAAAAAGTTTAGTAAACAAACTATTAGCAGTGTAAATGTAATGAAGTTGTACTGTGTAGTCAACCATGCTTGGATTAATTGTTATTCATGGCTGTTCCAGAAAATATTCCAGATATGAATGTAAACATATTTATATAACAAAGTTTTCTTTGCTGCAAAAAATTCTTACTGGAATGAAAATGTTAGGGCTGGAGGTATAGCTCAGTGGTAGATCACTTGCCTAGCGTGTGCAAGGCCCTGGGTGCAATTCCCGGCACCAAAAAGAAAGATAAAAGAAAAGGAAAATTAATAGTCTGCTTGTGTGTATTCTGTAGATGAAATCCAGGCAGGCAGTTTCTAAAAGAAATCATTTTATTGTTTTTACTACCAAAGTGGAAGCATGATTTGGGTGTGATCTCAGAGACAAAGAAAAAACCCACTTGAATTCTTTCATGGAAGAAAAAAGTCCCCATATACTTGGGATTAAGGTTCATGATTCTAATTTACCATCAGTACCTTTGTTTTTTCCTCATAAACACACATTTCTAAAAGAGCCAACCAAGAATTTCTGAAAGAGATAAAATTCTTTAAAGCTGACAATATTATTTTCTATAGGACTTAGAAGTGAAAAGTGCTTACTAATTTGAGAGGCAAAGATGCAGAACCCAGTGAATTGATATGCCAAGATTATTTCCTGGGCTGTAGGTCTCTTGACTTTTATTATTATTATTCTTTTGACCCTAATCTAATATGTAATTGAAAAGCAATATTCCCAGACAGTATGGGAATTTATGTTCCACTTAATAGTTGGGAATGGCAGATTCTTGGGAAGGGATAGCAGGCGACAAATAGCTTCTTTCTCTTCTTGGCTGAGCTGACTCCTCCTGGAATATTGTGTTCGGTTCTTGACACCACATTTCAAGGGAAACATAGACAAACTAGAGTGCATTTGGAAGAAAGTGGCTTTAATGGTGAGAGAACACAAACTCATGTCACATGAGAGACAAATGAAGAAAAGGGAGATGTTTGCTTCAGGGAAGAATCAACTCAGAGGGATGTTAGCCATTTTTAAATAATGAAAGATCCTTCCTGCGGAGGGCTATTAGCATTGTTCTGTCACCCCCAGATGCATAGCAAGAAAAGGATTGGGAGACAATTCTGCCGTGAAGAAAGTCAAAGCTTCTTGATTCAGTCAGCAGTTTACCAGGAGTAGGTAGGGCTCCTGCCACTGGAGACATTCACGCAAATTTTTGTGGAAAGAATTCTACATCAGACAGAGGTTGAAGTCAACTTCCTGTAAGGTCATTTCACTATTGTCAGAGCATCACCCTCCGTTAGAGGTCCCTATAGAATCCCACTGGGACTCACCAGGTGTGCTCTCTCATGAGTTCATACCACAGCCATTTCCTTCCTTCCACTTCTGGCTTCCAGAAGTGAGGGCATTTCCTGGAGCCTCCATAGCCTACGAAATTCCAGAGGTAATGTGCTCTCTACCACTGGCTAAAGGCCTCATGTCATCCCTGCTCTGCATCAGTGCCTCCCTGTGCAAAAGCTGCACCTCTGGGCCAAGCCACTGAAGCTGCTGGTGCTACTTTCCACTCAACAACTCCTGACTTCCTCCCTTTCTCCTGTTAGATGGTGCAGCTGTTCTCAAGTAGATTTTGTGGGCAAAGAGCTGTTAGTTCTTAGTCTTAGAATTTTTTTTTTTTCCTTCTTGGACTTAAGTATAAGTTTCTACTGGGGTTGGAATAATCAGGAAGCAACCAATTTTTATAAAAATTACCTTTATCCAGAATGCTGTGGTCCTTATCCTTAAGCAAATCTTCTAGGCTCCCAATCTTTTTTCTGTTAAGGTCAATTTTTCTCGGGATACTCCTTGGTTCCTCATTTGAAGACTCACTCCTCCCTGCAGGCTTGTTCTCCCAGCCTCAGTACATATTCTTGGTTGAGACCCAGAGCTGTGGCCCTTTCTCCTTCTCTTCCCCATCTGTCTCCCCCACCCCCACCCCACCACATACCATATATGATTCTATGACTG